TAATTCTTGATATCATGCTCAGCCTCATCCAATAATTGCTTATTATATTTATGTACCCGACTTTTGGTGAGAACAGCTACAGAACAGAAGAGCTTTGTTTGATGTTGAACCGTCCCTCACCGAGTACAAATCCTTTGTCTCAACGTCCTCAATTATTATTCATCGTGGTTGCTGCACGTTTTATCTCAGCCATCTCTATTGAACGATTACTTCAGAATACGAAAATACAATGAGCTCATCAACGTAACCGTACAGAAATTAACATAAACTCCGACAAAAACATAAAGCCTTCTGTTTAGTTTCCAGGGGTCGGTTGTTCAAAGCTGGGTTAGCTTAACCCATGGATAATAAAATAAATGGATAGGACTCTAGCTGACGTAAGCAAAAACAACCTAGTTGCAATCTGTGACGTCACGCGTATTGCAAAGTTCTCGGCATTTTTGTTGTTTCGCTATACTTTCCGCTTTAAAAGAGTAATATTGAAGCATATACTGGTCTAATTGTTTTAAAAACATGCCTAAGCCACGACAAAGTATTCAAGGTAAATGTTTTTCGTCTTTGTTTTGTATTTTTTTACATTTGTAGCTACGAAATTGGCGTCCCCAATTGTAACGAAATTTGGGATGCATTTTTCACTGTTTAGTGCTTGAGATATTTGCTAAAATTGACTGGGAATACTTAGAGATTTCATCGTAGAATGGCGTGGTTATATTCATTTGCTCTTTGACTAAAATGTTTAGCTGTATTATTGCTAAACATGCCGTTTTTGAGAATTTGGTTTGCAAGTAGGTTTCAACATCCAATCACGCCATCAGCCCATTGAAAACATTAGATCACGTCAGCTAGTTTCCTATCCATTTATTCTATTATCCATGCTTAACCCTAGGTTAACTTCAAATTCAAAGCAAACTTCCCAAGAACTTGTTTATAAATTTGGAAATATTTCTTCAGAAATCTTGTCTGAATCAGTAGGAGTTTTCTTCTCTGAAGTTTTGAAATAAACAGACGTGTAGAAATACATAAACTAAAACAGCAGGTTAAATTTTAACCCAGGGTTAGCGCTAACCCACCTTTGAACAACCGGCCCCAGACCATCATATCGTGATGGACTATGTACTTTGAAACTTTGAAAACGTATTGCGCATTTAGAAAGATCGAATAGATCTTACAATAGCTTGAAATCGAGTGGGACAATAGTAGTTTTTGGGACGTTTCTATTGAGTTTATTGATATTTTAATAATTTTCAGTCTCTAGGAGTGATACCTGAATTGGTAACGCATCCATTTAAGACGAAGCAACAGGTATCGTATGAAAGTTTGTTTTATAGTGCATGGTCTGATGGGATGTTTGTTTTGGAATAGTGTGGTATGGTTACGGCGTAGTATGGTATTATGCATGTCTTATTGGTTACACGAAATGGTATATGTTAAGTTAAAATGTTGTGATATGGTCATTATTGTCAGTATTTTCTCCATACACAATAATCCATATTTACCTTCCTATCAATATCTTTCCAGACTACTGCTAGGCTATACACAGGAAGAATCGAACTGATTGAAAAACTTCTTGCAGTCTTAGGGCATGAGGAAACTACGACCAAGTAAGATTTACAAATAATAATCAGCTTCATCCATGTTCCTTTTATAACAGTGTTTACTATTAATATTATTTGTAAGAGCAAAGAACATTTATTTTGTTTTCGTTAACCATTAGTGAATTCTAAATCGTACTATGACATTTATGAAATCTTCAGATTGATAGGGATGCAACTACCTGAAAAATACAAGGAGAACTTCGACGTTTCGAGCGAAGGCCGGAGTATAGTACAGCCAAAGTATAGTATACTCCCGACGAAGTGCCTTAGCTCGAAATGTCGAAGTTCTCCTTGTATTTTTCAGGTATATAAAACATTTATCGATAGGTTATAAAATATTTATGGATAACATTTCTGGTTTATTTTTAAACTATATAGTGGATTCTCTACAGCTTCCACGATGAAGGTATACTATAGTTTGTACATTTCTGATATTTACACCTGTACCTAAATCTTTCTCGAGTGACACGTAGTTTTTCTTAATATTTGAATTTAGTTTCTTCTTCCCGCCCTGGACCACGCCAGTGGTGGAGTCCGCGATGCTGCTGTAAAACTGATTTTTGAACTTTATAAGGTAACGGACTATGCATGCATGGAAGATGCATCAATAGAATGTGAGTTTTAAAGGTTCAAATTGGGCTTGACTATATATGAGTGAGGTTTATGTTGACAATACAATATTATGCACGTAATGTCTGCTCCTGAGGGAACTCCTCGGGCCCGCAGTAATTGGCTATTCGCTGTTGCGGTCACCCAGCCGTGGTCATGTACCCACTGTATTTCATTATGTACGTTTGTTTTTGTCCTGTCATGTAATGTACTGTTTCATCGGCAAAGTTTATAAATTAAATTAAAAAAAAAATTAACTAGCTTTGTTTTTCCGAGAGGATCAATGTTTCCCGTGATCAAAAGCGTGATAAAAAGCCGATATAAACTTTATAAGCAAAAGATAATGTAAATCATATCAGAACGTAACATAATATGCAGATTCGTCCATCTTAAATAATGGTTGCAGACTGCAGAGGAGAGTGGGCAGTGTGGTAAGGCTCCCTCCTGGTACCACCCTATGGAAAACCTGCACCCCTCCTTGCAGATGAGACTAGATCCGCCCCTGATCCTTTCCCCTCATAATGACTGTGAATGATGACTTTACTTCTTATTTTCTAGTTAAAAGCACCAGTAAAAGGCTTCCTCCCGGCGGATGAACCGACGACCAGAAAGAATCCTCTGTATCGCTCAATATTTGATGGTTTTGATAAGATTGATGGTAAACCAACTGAAGCTGAACGAAAGGTCAGCATTTTTTTCCTCTCAGAAATTTTTGATGTCAACTTGTTAAATTTATTAGTAAATTTAAAAGCATTGAATTTCTCAAGTCATTTGAGAAGTCATATAACAAGCTCGAAAGCTTTATATTAGCGGCTATTAAAACACCTCAAAGTATGTAAAATCTCAGCTGGCGCCTCGTATTTCAATAGGCTAGCTTTTTGGTATTTTATACGCCTACATGGGGCCGGTTATATAACAATATATGTTATTTAATAGCCCCAAAATCAAGTTTTATTAAAAAAAAAACATTGTTTCGTATAAACGTCACTAGGCCAAAGCAAAGAGCGACAGAGAAGCCGCAGAAAAATCGAAACAGACAGAGGTTTGAATCTAGAACATGATATATCTTTTGAAATTTTCAGAATTGTATATTCAAGAGTCAGGTCTCAGGGTGTTTACTTTACAATACTTATATCATTATAGATTGATGAATTACACGCCCATTTGCAAGCATTAAGAGAAATGGCAGCCAAACAGGTAAAACTGAATTACATGACATTTTGACAACAGCTGTGATTGTTTACAACGCCAATGGCATACAACTTCCTGGAAAATCTCCTTCGCCCCGCCTCAATTATTGTTCAATTTTAAATAAATTTCAACCACAATTTTGTATCAAACTCCGTAGTTGAACTTATGTACAGATGTGGTCGTCATGCTATCTATTACTCATGAAACAAAAATTCTAAATATTACGTAATGAATTTGTTTATTTGCATGTATAGGGTGATGTCGAAACAGACAAAGCAAGCAAAGGTAGATAAATCTCTCTTTTTGTTTAACTAGTCTGTGGCTGCATTATCCCTGGTTAAACGAGGATGAGAGTTGAGAAGCGAGAGTTTGCATGAGAGTTTTCTCAACTCTCATGCCCGGTCAAACGAGAACAAGAGTTGCGTGTATGAGAGTTGGCTGGATGTTACTGTACCAGTCAAAAGAGCAAAAACTCTCGTCAACTCTCATCAGAAGTTGAACCAGCTCAAGGTTCATAAGAGTTGATGAGAGTTGATAAGAGGTGATAAGAGTTGATGAGATGTGATAAGAGTTGATGAGAGTTGATAAGAGGTGATAAGAGTTGGCGGTGAAACGCGAACGAGAGTTGGAACATTCATCAATTCTCGTTCACTCTCATCCTCGTTTGACCAGGCTTTGCAGTATGTTACCCCCAGTGTACACAATGCATGTCACTTGACCAGTTCCTCTGGTCATATTGTCTTGCTTATGTTTTGTGGTTTATAACATGAAGTATACAATGACATGCTAAAGTAATAAAGTGATATACCAGGGCCTTCACGTTCCAGAGTTAACGTGTTAGGTAGTATAGTACTTCACACATTCAACTGGAAAAAATTTTGAAAATCCATAGAATGGAAATTGTATTGACCTTTATTGGAAATAGAATGGATTTTTGATTATCCATAATAATTGTATATTTCCATATTATGGATGCAGTATCGAAATAGTATGGATATACTTTGGGTTTAGTGGTGCAATTGCAAATCTCATAATATGGATTTCACATTTTTTCACCAGTGTTCTATCATTCCTAAACGGTTAAATATTTGTGACACCTTTATTTTAGACCAGCCTGCTGTTGATACATCTGCAAAGCCCGAACCTACGGCTGTCGACAGGTAAGAGCTGTGTATGAGTTTAAATGTTATCAATAAGTACATGGTGGTGCCATATACTAATATTTACTCTCTGATACTGTAGAGAATTAGTATGAAAAGTTTTCTCTAAACATACTGACAAAGAAATTGAAATGTTTCAAAGAGACGAAAGTCTATGTAACATTCCTCTGATATGTATAGGATGTGTATTTTCTGCGGTACGAAAGATGAAACGTTTACAGAGGAAGTGTTGGACACTCATTACTGGAAATCTTGTCCAATGTTAAAACGATGCTCAAAATGTTCTCAGGTAAAATATTTGGATTGGTAAATACTCACTCTTAGTTACAGACTCACTCGCATCATTTCCACTTGATAACTCTCAGTTCTAAACTGTCCTGCCCAAAGAGCCACTGTAACTGCAGGAGGAAACCAAAACTAACGCTCTGTGCCTCTATCAGCTCTA